TTTATGTATTTGTATACGTTTGTATGCAGAATTTTCAGAACATGCATCCATCGCCTCATATCAAACTTTTTCGGTAATCCTATACTAACTTTCTTTCTGTCGTAATTGCCATCAAACTTCACTTGCTCTTAGCACATGTAAAACACTTAATCACATTGATTATGAGCATGTTTTAGTGTCTATTTCGTAGTGCCTCTTTCTTAATTACGAATTGACAGGTTTGAATTTGCGCTTGAGCAACATGAAAATTCACTTTAATAGTGAGAGAGAGGGAGGGAGAGAGGGAGAGTGAGAGAGGTGTGAGCAAGAGCGTGGGCTATTACGACACGAGACAAGAGCAATTTGCTTAGGGACAAAGCCCCGGACTCAACATGAGCGAATTTGCATGATGGTTTTTTTTTTGGAATACCCTGTAAGTGAATGAGAATGTATAAGATGTGCGCGAGCAACTATATGTAACCATATTTAGGGATAATTATTTAAATTGCCTAGCAATTCGCTGAACGGAGTTGATTAAGTTATATACAAACCCATTAATCTCGAGATGTACATAAAATAGAGACTTTAGTTCATTACAATGTGCATTTCAGTATAATCTATATTCCCAGGGTATTTACTATTCCTTCGCTCCCAAGTGCAGCAAAACTATCTGATTTTTTTGCTAGCAAGTAATAAGTGATGTATGAAGAGAGAGAGGGAGAGAGAGAGAGAGAAGTGGAAAAGGATTTGAGGCAATGCCAATGTTTAATGTCAGTCACGTAGCCAGGACACTTTGCGTGCGATTCACATTGCAAGCGCGCACTTTGCTACTTGCCACAGCTCTTGCCCTTGTCCCCATCCGTAGCCTTGTTCGTGTCCTGGCATAACGGTCAGTTGATATGCAAAAAATGTTTCGTGCTTCAGCCAGGCAAAGGTTTCACTTATTCCCCTTTATCATTTTGCATAGATTTAGCCTGCATTTTGCAGATCGAATCGGAATTAGGAGTCGAAGCTCGAGCTGAAGTTGAATTTTATTGGCTCATCATTTAGAGCAGTCGCTGTAATTGGCTGTAATTTGATAAGCCTGACTCAAATGACTCGATACCCATTTAATAGAATCTCTCTTTCTGTCTCTCTCTTGCTTTCCCTCTTGCTCTTGCTGTAAAACTTTGCAACATCTTTACAAAAAGTTTGCGATAAACAAACGGCAGAGAGTGAGTATTAGAGCTATGCCTGAGCTACACTGCAAGAAATTACAGCACATAAGCGAGCACATAGATTTTTTACGTAAATTTCAGATTTGTTATCAAATTTAATGTGCTTACGAGGGCTGTAACCCAAGTTTTCAACTTTAAATATAAGTTTGTTAAGTAAAATGTTTTTCTATTACTTTTTATTGCATTACATTAATTTTCGTGATATTATATGACATTATTTATTATATAAATATTATGTTTAAAAAAATATTATACATAAAAAATGCATTCAAATTTTATATTTTTTGAGAGAAAAAATTATTATTATTTAAACTATTTTTTTTTTTTTAATTTTATTTTAAATAAAAAATGCATTTGAATAATATTATTTTGAGAGCAACATTTGTTATTTTTCTTAATTTCATTCTAATTTTATTTTTCTTCTAAATAAAAAAATGCAATCAAATAATATTGCTCTGAGAGCAACATATATTATTATTTTTAATTTTGTGCATTCATTTTATTTTTAATTTTATTTTTATTTTAAATAAAAAATTCATTTAAATAATATTATATATTATATTAATTTTATTATTATTATTATTATTATATTTACTTAATTTGCTTAGTCCTCTATTCCTATCCTAGTAAATTCTCTTCTGTTAGCTGCTGCAGAGTTTTCTCTGTCTGAAGCTGCAGCATCAGGAAGTCAATGCCACAGTGTTGACAGCTTGTTGTTGCGCACAGACACACACACACACACACACACACACACACTCACACACATGCAAGCTACCTAGCACACACTCGTGTGCAGCTGGAAAAGTTTTGGACAACTCGAATGTATTGTATACAAATGCACTTTCAACGACTGCAAAGGTCCAAGACTAAAAAGCACTCTCACTCTCTCTCTCACTCTCGCTGGCTCTCTCTCGGTCTCCCTTCCACTTCGCCTGTCTTGGCCAACTTCTTGCTTTTCAATTGGAACTTTTGACTGACAAAAAGAAGAAGAAGAAAGTAGAAAGAAAAGGAGAAGTCCACGTGCAAAAGTTTTTTGGGGCACAAAGCAAAGCATCGCCAAAAGTTATGCTTGGGCATTATTAGAAATTGAATTAGATTGCGTTTTGCCATCCACACTATGCATGCAAATGCAAATGCACTCTCTGTAATCCCCTCATCTCTCTATGTCTCTCACTCCTCTTGCAGCTGTCACAATCATACATAATCGAAAACTCATTGAATGGGCGCTGGCAGCAGGTCGATTGGCAGATCATAAGATGCTTCGTTTGCTATAAACTTTGACTTCTCGTTCGCTTCCTTAACATGTGTCCGATACACACACGCACACAAACATTGATGAGATATATAAGCAGAAATGAAGGACAGAAAACGATAGTCGCAGAGATAGCGAGAGGTAGCGACAGAAAGAGAGAGAGTGAGACGCGTAAGAAAGGTGGACCAGAGGTAGGGAGCAGAGCAAGTAATTAGCAGAGAGAGAGAGAGAGAGAGAGAGAGAGAGAGAGAGAGCTCAAATAAGAATAATTATAGATATAATTTATAATACGATAATATTTACGAGGCAGAGAAAGAGAGGGAAATCAATGCAAAGAAAGACAGAGAGGGACAGAGGAATGAGGGAAATAGTTGTCTCTGAAACATACTTTTATTCAATTAAATGAAATTACCAAGCAAATGAAGAACTGAATCAAATATATAACCAAATACTTATCTGAAGGCATTCTGCTGCTTAGACAATAAGAGCGAAAGAGACAGACGCTAAACATTTACATGTTGGCATATTTTTGGCACATGCACAGGGCAAAGTTTTGGTTCCGTAACTTTTGCGGAAAAGTGTCAGCTGGTTTTTCCATTGATGATATTTGGCAATAACATTTGTGAATATGCTTCCAGTCGCAGTTATTTTCTGTCTTGCCTGCTTTGCTGTCAAGTATTTCATCAAAAGTTTCAATCAAAAAGTTTGCCGTAAACAGCAGACAGACATAAGATAGAAGGAACACGAGAGAGAGAGAGTGAGAGTGAGGGATGGAGATGGGCAGAGCGGAAGTGAATTTACCTTACGATTTGTATACATTGTATATATGTATACTCCTTGCACTCCACCCGATTAATCCTTTTAATTTTGAAAGTTCTTTTCGGTGTATGAGAGGGAGAGAGAGAGAGAGAGAGACTGGAGTGAGGGCAAAGCAAACATGCGACGCATTCGCTCACTCGCTCACTCTTGCTGCAGAGCACAAACTTTTTTAATAACATGCCCAAAGAGAGCTTGAAGACCCAAGCGAAGTTATCAACCAAAAGTCCAAGTAATGGGAATAAATTTTCCAGCATTACGCTGCACAACGTACTCTGCATACATTTCTGCACTCTGGTCAACAAACAACAACTGCGAGGCGCTAGAGGAAGTCACCAAAAACTTTAGCAGCAACTGCGCCTGCAGGCGCTCTCCCCCTCTCTCTCACTCTCTCTCTCTCTCACACTCTTCCTCGCCCTCTCGTTCGACTCGACTGCAAATACGAGTTATAATAATTTCTTTTCAATTTCCTTCAAAGCAAATAGCTTGCAGATGAGAGCTGAGCTGAGTGCTGAAAAATGTTTGAATGCAGGCAACGTTGATTCCGGCACAGGATTAGAAAACAGTCTAAAAAGATTTGGCGAGCGGCAGGGGACGGCTCTGCAAACAGCATAAATCCTTGACTGGGCCGAAATAGTGGAGCATGACGAGGGAGGCGGGCAAATGTAACTCATTTTCTATTTTCTATCATCGTCATCGTCATTTTTGCTGGCATTTGCATAATTTCAAGTAAGCAAGCAATTTGTTGCCATTTCAGGCATTCAAGTCAACAAGCAGGCAGCTACTCAAAGTCACAGTTGCAGTTGCAGTTGCAGTTGCAATGATAGTTACAGTCACAGTTACAATCCCGTTCGCAGTCAGTCACAGTCACAGATTACACAACGGTCTGGTCTAGCCTCGGGCTGGGCAATTTGATCCTTATCAGCCAGTTGACAGTTGGCTGCCTGGGCTACGGCTCGGCCAAGCCTCAGCTAATTTGATTAAATGTGGAAAATAGAAAATGCTAAATGGAAAATGGAAAAACATTCAAATTGCATAACAAGCCTCCTGACTAAATGACAAGCTGCAAGCACAAAGTGAAAACTTTAAACAGAAATAAATTGCGAGAGGCAACAATTAAAATGCTACTCGATTGTAAAGGAAAATTCCTGTGGAAACTCAAATGAAATTAAAAATGAAAATTTAATAGAAATTCTTCAAAAGCCAAGGAATGTTACAGAAATTGATGAAATAATCTATTCGAAAATTGATAATCGAATTTTAGCTAAAGTCAATTACAATTGAAGCCAGTTATATGATTTTAAATTGGCTATGACATGCCGTTGTGGCAGTTAGCCAAAAAAGAAATTATTTATGACTTTCCTTTAGTCAAGGAGCATCTATATGCTGAATTGGAAGTTGATCGCTCTTATCAAACTCGAGCTATGGTAGATAAAATAAGTTGAGCAAATGAGATTATAGCAAACTTTATGTTACTTAAGCTTGTGCTGATATTTTAAGTATATAGTAGAATCCAAATATAAATATAGGATATAGGATGCATATTACATTTTTGCACATTAATATACCGTAAAGTAATACAGTAAAATACTAAAGAAAATACCAAATTAGGCTTTATTTACAGCCGTTATGATGTTAATATTCAATTGAACTTGAACTTCTCTTGGGTCTCTTGAAAAGCTTACTTTATACCTACCTAATTTCAGTCTTCGCTCACATGTCGAACGATCAAAGCGAGCCGAATTTCCAAATTGTTTCGTATCTCAGAACAGACAGTTAAAAAAAAGACCCGAAACTTAAATTTACACAGACTAAAACTATTTGGTACATTTTTTAATTTTTGGTGTTTTGCATTGTTTATCGATTGTTGCTGGCATTCGCTTGAAGTAATTGACGTGACTTTGCGGTGGGACCAAAAAAGGTGAGTCTATGAAACCCGAAAACACGTGAATAATGGCTGAAAAGTTGTGCGGCCTGTTGGCATAATTCAGTAACTTATTGCATGCAGCTGTTAACTTGGCTAACAGAACTTTGCTTGCGATAAAAGCCAACAGCAACGGTGCTGCAAGTGGGAAGAGACGCTCGAGCGGTGGGCTGAGAGATACCCTAACGATTCTAAGAACCTGAAAATATTATATATTTTAGGGGGGCTCACGTTGAAGAGTATTAAGTTGATCGACGAGCAGATATCCTTGGGATATATCATGGGAGAAACTTATCTCTTTCATATCCTATCTTTAGATTAGCTTGAGTCGTTATATGATGCTCTATTGCAATACTTTTCTAAGGTATCCAAAAAAGGAAATTCCTATTACTTGCGTATACCCTCTAAGTACTCACATGCCACATTTGAAGACTATAGATCGTGGAAGTGCCGACTTATCGATCTTAGAGTAAGGACAGTAGACATTGATTTCTTCAAACTTCGACTCCGAGTCAACTCTTCCATCTCTATTACTAGCAGCTGTTACATACACACACTCAATATCTATATACCCCACCGTATGCATTGCCAATTGGCTGAGAGCATTAAAAATGTTTGTCCTGCAAAATAATTTGCAACGGAGTTTTTCAGTTCTCCTGTTGCAAGTGCAGGCAGAAAGCTATGGCCGACCAAATATAATAAATTCAATATTAAGTTGTGCCTACGCACACGAACTCTGTCTGTCCGTGTGTGTGTGTGTGTGTGTGTAAATACACGCACTCTACAATATTTGTGCTTTGAGAGTCAAAAGTTATCGCCTGGCAAACAGGCCAGGCCAACAACAACAACAACAACAACAAACTTAAAGCCCACAGGCAACGCTGCCCAGCAGCTCGCTTTTTACACAACTCTCCCTCTCCCTCTCTTCAAAGTGGGGCGTGTGTGCAGCTGCCCTAGACCTGCAACAGGCATTGCTAACCGCTCCTCCCCCGCACCGTCCCCTCACTTTTTTCTCTGTTGGTCTGCCTGCGTGTGCTGCTGTTTATGACTTGCTTGCGCAGCCATAAATAAACTTACGCTGGCAGGTAATCATTTTACGCCGTATTTTTGTGCTACAAGCCCCCCTGACCGGCCCCCCTGCCCGCTCTCTTTCACTCTCTCTCTCTCTCTGTAGGCATCGCTGTCCCGCCGGCTTAGCTTTGTACAGCGAAATTTCTCTACGTTTCTTCAGCTTTTTTTTCGTTTTTGTTTTTGTTGCTGTTTACACAGTGTGGTTTCAATTTAATTACTGCACAGCAGTTATATTGACGTTGCCTCATTAAACCCCTACCACACGCACACTAACACACACATACACACACACATGCCTAGAAAAAAACTGTTCGAGCTGCAAAGCTTAAGCCTGTCAATCGCAAACGTTTTGCTGCGGCTTTTGGCACACGCTCTAATGCAGCAGATACATATGTGTGTGTGTGTGTGTGTGTGTGTGTGTGTGTGTGTGTGTGTGTGTGTTGTATGAGTTGGTGTTTGTGTAAAGTGATTTGCTTTAGCCGCAACAAACAAGCTGCTGCTGCTGGTGCTGCTGCTTCTTCTTCTTGATGAACCTCGGTTTGTTTGTTGTTTTTTCTCGCTTTTGCTAACAATATTTGCGTACACAAGGAAATTATGCAAATAAATTACATTGTTGATAGCAGAATTGGGGCTTATGGATTCATTTTTGGAAATCACCTAAGTGAAATATCATTAGAGCACTGCAGAACCCTTACTTTTCCTCGACCTATATACTGACAATTTCTATAAACTTTATTTGTTGCATACTTTTGGGCTTAATATGTTTGCATGCATTTGTAGCGTAGTAGTTGTAGATCTAAAGGCAAAAGGCTAAGCACTGTGAAGCCCTACGGATAAAGATCTATTAACACATTTAAGCTTCTCCTTCCATTGTAGCTCACTTAAGCTGAGCTTAAGAGTCGCAGAGTAGTCTAAGCTTGGCTTCACTGTAGTTTTTACACTGGGAAAAATCTATTTTTTACTGTATGCAACTTTAGTTCAGCCTTAGCATGTGTTTAATTAATAGACTCTCCAGCAAGTCCCAATGCAATTTCAGCTTTTGTTTTTTGCACGCCCAGCGGCTCGAACTTTTAATGGGCTTTCTAATACGAGACACAGACACACACACACACACACACTCACACACAGACAGAGAGGAGGACATGCTGTCCTGTTTGCCATGTGCACGTATAATTACATGGCAGAAAGTTCAGCATTTGGCTTTGGGTTTACCTTTAGCTTATGGCCAAATAGGCCGAGCCCGAAAAACATGCATTATGACTATTTTATGAAGCACGCGTTGGCAAAGTTTGGCAGCAGCAAAGGAGATGCAGCAACGGAGCAACAGGACGAGCCCTGAGTCCTGCTGTTGGCCTGTTGTGCATTGCGCTGTCAGGTATTTATATACATAAGTTGCTGCCAGGACTGTTGGCCACATCCTGTGAATATCCTGTCGCTCTCTGTGTGCATGTGTGTGTTTGTGTGTGTGTGTTTTGCTCATTGTTATCACAACTGGTTTATGGCTCGACTAAAAGTCTTAAATTCATGAGCTCTCACTGTGGAGCAACAAAGCCCATGCAACAGCCTGAATGGGTCCCCACTCTGGTCTGTGTGTGCTGACCCTCTGCTTGTTAGCCTTCACAGGCATATTATCAGCCTATAAACTGCATATGAGTCTCCCATTCAGAGCCAGCTATCAGTGTGCGCCCTTTCAAATCATTCCGAATGGGCTATTAAGCTTCAGTTAGTCAATGGCTATTGACCCTAATCTCAGCAAGCTAATTCAATATTTCGTCTCGTCGCTTTAATACATTGAGTAAGCTCAAACAATTCAATTCAATTTCTTTTAATAAATTATTAAGACATCAATAAGAAAAGTATGTTTAATAGATTGCCTTCATTTCAACAGCAATGGCTGTTTGCTTCCTTCTGTTACTCTATCTGTCTCGCTCTTGCACGTGATTTAGTCTAAGGCAAAGCTGTAGCGCAATGGTATGGAGTGCGCACGTTAAGCGAGCTGACCCCGGTTCAAATCTTATTGTCGTCAAAAAAATTTTTTTTTAACAGCAATGGCTGTTTGCTTCCTTCTGTTCCTCGATCTGTCTCGCTCTTGCACGTGATCTACGCTAAGTCAAAGCTGTAGCGCAATGGTAAGAAGGGCGCACATTAAGCGTGCTGCCCCCGGTTCAAATCTTACAGTTGTCAAAAGAAAATTTTTTTTTAATATTTTTAAATTTTATATTTTTATATTTATATTTAATTTTTATAACTCACTCTTAGCCAATCATGTTGCTTCTTGGGGTGATTAGCTTCCTTTGGGACACGATTACGAATTATGTTGCCAAACTCATGGACAAGGTCTATGAGTCGAATTATGTTATGGCTCTGTTTAGCTGCGTTATGGCCACGATTTTGGTGGCACACTTGAAATCGGCGACGGTTATATTGAATCAAATGCGGCCCAAGCACCGTGCGCAGGTAATAGAGCGACAGCCGTCGCCAATTAACATTGTTAGCTGCGTGACCCAGAAACTGAAGCTGCAGGAATCGCTACGCTGGTTCAGCTACGACGAGCTGCCACCGGCGGTGATACTCGAGAACAATGGCTGCACGGTGATCATGCGCATTTCCTGTTCCCCGGAATATACACCATACATTACGGGTGGAAATTTGCCAGGAAACTACTATTTTATGGAGGCTTCGTTCAAGTGGAACTCGGAGCACTCGATTGACTCGCACAACTATGCCATGGAGATGCAGGTGTTGCATGCCGCAAACATGAGCGATGTCCCCTACGAATTCCTAACGGTATCCTATATGTTCGACTTGGGACTGCAGAAGAACTGTATGTTCGATAAGATCATCAACAATTTGGCCGCCATTCGCAGAGCCGGCTCGGCGATCGAGCTGCCGCCCTTCGACCTGGCCACCATGATGTGGCGCTTCGGCAGCGACTATTACAGCTATCGCGGCACCTATACCAACGGCAGTTTCGCTCTGCCCAGCCAATGGCTCATTTGCACGCGCACCTTCTACATCTCCGCCGAGCAATTGGCTCGCTTCCGAGATATTTGCGATGTGTACGGTAGGAAAATCATGTGGAACGCCCGCCAGAGGAAGCCGCTGGGCAATCGTCGCGTTGCATTGAATTGTTCGTAGTAGAGAAAGAGAGAGGGAGCGTTAGTGAGGCAGAGAGACAGAGAGAGAGCCTGTTCTGTTCTTGTTGAGTTAAATTCATAAGCAATGGATAATTTTTGGTTGAGAGATAATTAGAAGAGATTTTCTAATGTTCTTTTTCTAGATCTTTGTAGTATTTTAAGCTCCCGGTCAGATTGATTTTATCGATTTTATCCATACAAGGTAAAAATCCAATTAGGGAGACTAAAGAGAATTATCCTGAAGCAAATCTCGACTATAGGATCAGCATAAAAAGAAGTTTGATCGAAAAGTCTAACAAAAAGCTCTTTACTAATTATATTCTAGAATGATTATACAATTCTAGTTAAGTATTATATTTTCTCTATTATTATCTGGAAGTAAAGTTTTACTGTAACTTCGATCTTTGTAGGATCTGAGCTGCGTCTTTTAGTAAAAAGTTAAATAAAGTAATTAAAGTACGAGTTTTATAATTTTTTAAGAATTTTATTTATGTTTACATCGATGTTTAATTTTGACTCAAAAAGTTAAGTTTTAGCCCCTGAAAATGCCCTGACCCCTATTTGTTTGGATAAGCAGCGTGCCCTGAGCTGGAAAGAGAGAGGGAGAGAGAGAGAGAGAGAGAGAGAGAGAGAGAGTTAATGAGTAATATTAAAAAAAAAAAACAGTTACAGCTTATACCCTAACTTCTAAGGTTAAAGGGTTTACTTACGTTCCGGCTCAGCGCTGGCCATAGCCACAATCAGAGCAAAGACAAAGCCGCAAATCTTGATCAATTGCATGTTGATTGTATATAGTCTATATATCTTAGATGCGTATATAAGGTAAGTCTGTGCTGCGATTGATTCGCCTTAAGTCTGATGTGGAATTAACGGCAGCAGCTGCTTTTATAGCGGCCAAGCGGAAGGCAGCGCCAAAGCAGCAGAAAAGCCAACAGCCAAAGCAGCGGCAATTGCACTTGTTATCAGGTTTTTCTATACCCTGGCAATCTTTGGGACTAAGCTGATGGGGTATGACGTTACTTTAAAGGGCAAGTGATAGGTAAAAAAATATGATACATAGTACATATTTGTACATATATGGCTGATCGATACTCTAAGATGAGTTGTATTGAGCTAGCCTTGTTTGTCAGTCAGTTTTACAACTACCAAAACTGGAGACTTGAAGTATATACAAATATACTGTATATCGCTCGAGGGAGTTCTTTCATATTGAATTTCTTATAGATTATTAATGTGAGAGGCGCAAGATTTTCTAAGTTCTCTCGAAGTAAGCAGTCATTATTATTATCATATTACTACCCTCAAAAGAGATTACAGTATCCAATAATTGTATACAGACACATTTAGCTGTCATATTTATGCTCCCGAAAATTGCATTAAGATCCCGAGTACAGAAGCAAAGTTATCTGGGAACATATATGCCATGATGGACTGCTTGCCCATATGTGTAAGTGTGTGTGTATGTGCTCTAATGTATGTATGTACATTGCTCCAAAAATATATATAATACAGTTAAAATACTGGGTATATTCCAGTCAGCCATCTTCAGTTAGCATATTCTTAGCCTTCTATTTGTTTTTTTTTCTGTCGTCTTGGGCTTTGCCCAGAGCTCGCGCACAGCTTATCACGTGCTCGAAAAGAAAATCCCGAACAATTCAGATCTTTAAAGTGTATTTCAATTGCTAGCCGGAGCTGAGCTGAATCAAATTTGAATGCATTGGAGCACATAGTCAAAGTCTGCTTCAAAAGCCAATGAACCAGAGCACAGTGGGTCAATCTGGTGCACAAGCCTCACAAAAAAAAAAAAACTAACTAAATTGGTAGAGATACAACAAATACTTCACTTGTGATTTATAAATATAAATGAATTCAAATTACATTTCTGTCACAAAAAACGAACAATTGGCCCACTGTGCGCTGGGCAATTGGCCATTCGTAGCTAAAGGCAAGCTTGAAACAAGTCTAAATTAATTTCTTATGAAAGGGAGTGAGCAACAGCAGTGTGGTGGGCGAAAAGTGGAAGGGGGCGTGGCTGTTCAACCCTTCGACTTCTTGCAGCATAATTCGCATGGTCGCAAAATTCACTTTGAAATGAGAGATGAAAGATGGCGAAGCTTGTTGCAAATTCCACGCGCCCAATGCGAAATGGCAACAGTAAGGCCCGGCTATATTGACTGCCCCCCGCTCCCACACCCACACACACACACACACACACACACAGAGGAGCTGCCATTGCAGTCATTGCCTGTTGCCAGAGCAACCGCCTTTGGGTTGGGGCTACACACAAATTGTTGTTAGCTGGAATTTTGGTGCAGTCGAAAATCAAAAAGGATTAGCTCGAGCCTTCGCCTCTCCCGCACCCTTCGCCTCCAGCCATGGGGCTGCCTCAGTTTCGACTGCTGCCTCATGGCAGCTCCGGCGGACAGCCAAAGTCTCGCCGACACAATCATACGAGCTGTTAAACCAAAAGGCAGACTTCTTCTATTACAATTTATTTCAGGCGTGGAAATATTTGCGGTAAAAGTTTTAAATAATTGTTGATGTAACGAACCATGCTACAGCTAGGAATGGGCCGGGTTACGGGGTAGGCGGGGCCTATTCCACAAAGTGAAAACAATGCACAAAAATAGTTTTCGCCTTTTGGGGCATCTGAAAATTGTTTAAAGTTTTACTCATATACAAAAATATGAAGTCTTTCGCTTCTACATAGCCAGCAGCAATTAAAATATATTGTAGTCGGCTTGGCACGATTAGCAGATACTCTGTAGTGAAAAACTAGGTTGAATAGATGTATTAATTATTTTATATAATTATTAACAAGTTGAGACCCTAACGAATCAGATGAAGAAGAGTCATGGGTGGGCTAAAATCAGACGAAGCCATAATATTATTTGACTTATTTTCAGCTGAAGTACAGATAGATCATTAGAAAGAGATTTGCTTGTATATCTCTCTTGATCTAGAATGTATATATATATAGCACAATTGGGATCGTGAAATCATAATACCCCGCTTACAAAATTTATAATAGGTGTAACAAACTTTTAACTTTTCATATTTCCATTACAGTATATTTTTATACATATATACTACATATATATAGCTAGACCTGACATTGTCGAGCTCACTCTGGGGCATTTCCAATTTCATTTACTATCAAATGGAATCAACAACAAATGTCAGCTCAACTGCTGATAACGAGTTGATGCGAAAAACCCGTTCTCAGCATCGGGTAAAAACTACGTATTAGCTATGCCAATTGCATAGAGAACACGGCTAAGACATGCCCTACAGACAACTAATGCGAGTTCTAGTTTCTATGGAAATATATAATAACCAAAATGAATAGATTTACATCAACCCAACAATAAATATACCTCGATTCGAATCTGTTTGCCTAGACTATAAAGTCATCAACTATGATTATATCTATACATATATCTTTTAACTGCCACAGGTTTATGAATGAAGCGTCAATTTAATTGATTTTCTGTGAATTCCATTAAAGTTGACGTTGTAACTGGTTTCCATAAAGCAGAAATCTATATTCTAGGAAATCGTCAAGCACTAAACAAATAAGTTAATAATTGTACATTGGAAATGTTGCATATCATTATTACTGCAAATACCCTAACTACCATTCGGGGTATGATGGAAATGCTGAACGTTATGACTGTTTGAGTATGTAGTATATGAGGAAGCTGGGAATGGGTAGCAGAGCGAATAGAGAGAAAATATACATAAAGTATTCGGATTGAAGGGCTTTGTGTATATTAAATACGTGAGACTCTTGTTGATTGATTGTCGATGTTGAATACTCAGAAAATATTATGAAATATTCAATAATTAATCAAACATAAATAATATAAAAATATATGAATATTTATTTATATATAATTTTTTTTTTTTTTTTATATATGTATAATTTAATATTTTATTTTTCGGTATATATAAAATATTTTAAAATATTTTTTACATATAAATATATATTTTTTTTACATATATATATGTAAATACAAAATATATAAAAATAATTTGTTTTTTTTTATATATATATGTATATATATATATTTTTACATATACATATGTAAATACAAAATATATAAAAACAATTCATTATTTTTTATTTTCATTTTACTTTAAATATCCATAAGAAAACCCAATCATAAAGCTTAAATAAATTTGATTTTGTATAAATGCTAAATATATATGCAAAGGTTTCTGAAATATTAACACAGCACCTACATAGTATATCTCCATGAATTCATCGCTAAACATTTAGCTAGAGTATACGTAATTCGTTGCGCTGTCAAAAGTTTTTCTTGTTTTAACTCTTGTTCTGCCATTTAGTAAACATTTGAGGAAAGAAACCATGGCCATGATATTTTATGTATTTTCTGAAAGTTAAATATTATTTCACCTGCAAACAAATGTGAATTTAAGTACGAAAGAAAACAGACGAATATTATGTAGGTTTAATTTAATATTTTCATTTTATTTTTAGAGGCAATTCAGTTTCATAGTTTAAGGTATTCGAGGAGTTTAGCCGGTGCGAATGTATTGAACGTTGTCGGTCTGGACGAGCACAGTGCCAGCTGCAAAGATTGATTGATTGATGTTGACTGATTGATTGATATGCTAATGAAATTTGCGTAGACTTACGTTTGACCACAGGCTCTGCGCTGGCAAAGGCACCGATGAGGGCCAGGAGAAGGGCAGCTGCTCGGAGGAATTTCATCTTTGGATTTGATTTGTTTCTGTATGCGACTGATACTGATTGCAGCCCAGAGCGGGTCTGATCTTTTATAGCAACCGTCAGTGGCCGGCTGCTGGCTGGGGCTGGCTGCTGCGTCGACAGCGTTTCGGGAAATTCCTAGCGATTTGGAATTTTGCAGGTTAAAAGATCAGATACTCAATACAATAGACTATCAGCCGATCATTTGAGAATAATCTTGAACCAAAAGCTGGCATAGGTAGGATTACTTGATTAATACTAACATACTCTCTCACTACTAGCTCAAAAAGCATTTAAGAATTAGCAATCAAAGGCTAGTATAGGATCTAAAGAACTTCTCTTATACAAGATCTAAATACTTTTAGATCATCCTAGCATAACTTGGATTTCTGCACAGATTTTTCTAAATATCTATTTTCATATTCAATATGTCGCCGTTCAGGAAGTGTTTCGATTAGCGAGGCTGTACTGTACTATATTATTTACATTTAATAATATTTACTATTTATGTATTTAGATGAACTTGAAATATTACTAGGTAGCATTAAATGCACAATATATTCTATACACACATATATATACATCTACATATATACATATGTATGTATTTATGAGCATCCAATTGGAATTTGCATCAAAGTTCCAGTTATCAACTTTGTTGTTGCTGCTCCCGGGCTTTGGGTATTTACTGTAAATAAATACTGATTAGCCAGAGACACTGGAAATTCCAGTCAAGCGCTGCTGCCAGAGCTCTGTCTCTACCTCTGCTATTGCCTCTGCCTCTGTCAGCCTATAAAAGCGCATTGCAATGCGATCTCTGGGTTCATACTAGAGTCAGAATTGCGCAACATGAATTGTCTAAAGATCTGCGGATTCGTTTTTGCCTTGATGGCGGCGCTGGCAAGTGCGAGTGCTAGTACGTATATACATCTACAAATACTATATGCATTAAGCATTATTAATTAATTATATTACTCCATTTTGATAGGCACTCAAGTGATTCACTCTGGCGGCCACACACTCATTCAAACACCGAATGGTCAATACATACGCAAAAATTAAACTGTATTAAATTAATAAATTAAAAAACCAAAACTGAAAAACTTATTTAAAATTGTTTTATTTTTATTTGAATTGTGTGTGTTTTTTTAGCTAAGCGAATGCTGGTCACACTTGCAGGCAGCTGCATCGATTGCTGCTTGCTTGATCGATTATCGACCGACCGCCACATTCAGCTGCCGCTCAGCTGATGCAGTTTGGGCACACTCTTCAAGTGCAGCTTAATTGTGATCTTTTGCTTAGCCGGCTTGACTTAATCTCCTAATTAAAACTGTTAATTATAAGTATAGATATACGTAAGTATAATACTGTAGCACAGTAAATATGGCATTATGCTATTACAATTCTCTTGCAGGCTTTGCTAGATATATCAGCCAGTGCAATTTGCCTTTCAAGCGGCTTAGCTTATCGCAGACAAATGACAACCAGCAGCAGCAGCAGCAGCAGCAGCAGCAGCAGAGCTCAACAAAATCGTGCCAAGCTGCTGCAACAACGAGCAAAGTGAACAACAAACACAAGAACTAATATAAACAAGAACTAACCGCAAAAAGCCAACCGCAACAACAAACCACAATCGGCAAAATCATCAACACTGGCGCGACAGTCCGGCCAGTCCTTCCAGGCTGCCCAGCGGCCAAACGAGTGAGAGCGAAAGAGAAGGAGAGTAACTGAGATTCGTTCGTGTCAGTTGCAATTTTGACAACGCCAACGAACCGCAAACACCCGCGCAAAAGTCATGACAACTGCTGCAGCATCAGCATCAGCTTCTGCTCCTGCGCCTGCCACGCCTCCATCTCCGCCTGCGCCTCAAGCTAAGTCGCTAAACGCGCTGCTGCACTTGCCCGCAGAGATGGAGTTGAGCCAAATTGAGTTGATCTATCGGGCGGAGGGTAATGCAAATTTGGTGCTGGCATTGCCGCAATTTAAAAAAGTTTTACGTTTGCCAAAAATGATATCCAGCAGCAGCAGCAGGAGTCGTTGCTGCCAGGCGGCCAGCGCAGACCAACCGGAAGGACAGCAACCCAGCGTTTCCGACCCAAGCGAAGCATCCAGCTCAAAAGGTTGAATGCTGCATATATATACGTACTATATATATAGATATACATATACATATATGTATAAGAGCGCAGCTATAGCATAGCATTTGTATGTCTGTTGTCTTGTTATTGTTGTTGTTAGTTTTGGCCAGGAAACAGTTGCCTGCAACTTCAAACACCATGGCTCAAGCAACAGCAACAACAATAAGATAAGATAATAAGCCAAAATATAAAGTTTAATAGTTTTATAAGATATTTAATATGTGTCTTATGCATGCTCATACTTTAAGTCTTTTGCATTAGTTATTTATATAATTAATATAGATTTGACTAGGTTTACTTAAGTTAGCTGAACTCTATATACGGTTAATATCTATTATTGTCTAGCCTTTATATTATATAGTGCAATTATTTGTATACCCATTATCATTTGAGTAGTTGAGTCTAAGTTCATAGACCTAAATACGACTGGCTGTATAGATCATTTGTTTATGGATATGTGAGACATGTGGATATATGTACTAATATTAAGATCTAAAAATATAAATATATGGAAGTACTAATGTTTAGATGTAGAGATATAGAAATATCGAGATATAGATTGATAGAGATCTATAGATATATGTTAAATGTAAAATCTTAGTTTATAAATGTATATTCCAGTATGAACGTAGGATATAAAAATATAAATATATGGAAGTACTAATGCTTAGATATAGAGATATAGAAATATCGACATAAATAGATTGGTAGAGCTCTATAGATATATGTTAAATGTAAAATTTTAGTTTATGTATAATCCGGTATGAACGTAGGAATACTGACATGCCTATAAGGCTTTTTCCTTAGTTACTCTTTAAGCATATTTTATCTATATATATATAATATAGATATGTACATATATATGCGATAAGTGCTTATAATGCACCCCAGCTAGTGTATAACAATAAGAGCTTCCTATTTCGACGAAATCGCAGTCAAAAGCAAAAGCAGAAGCAAACTTGGTTCCTTTCTGCGTTGCTGTTGGCCAATTTGTGTATTGTGCGATGCTTATTGCCCGCTTGGCTGGTTTTGTATAGCACAGTTATAGATGTATGTATAGATATGTGTATATATTTATATATATATAGTAGTTGTATGGAGCTGGGACCCCAGTCATATCTGTTTTTGTGGCTGGCCGTGCATCCTCCTTTGGCTTTGGCCATTGCATCGAGATGTGTTTATTTCATTTATCTTATTTCTTGCCTTTCTCTCTTTTAGCTGGCGCCTTGACAATGCCCGATTTTATGGCTTATATCGAGATAATGCGCCGTCTATTAGGAAATGAGTTTGTCTGTGCAGCGGATATTGTTGCCATACCAAAGGAAAGCGATAGATGCTGGATAAACGAGCACATACGCCAGCACAGGCCGGGTGAGTTCATCTCCGGAGAGAGACTCGCAGAGAGAGTGAGAGTGGGGAGGGGAGTGATTGGAGAGGCAGCTGCTGTGTCATAGTTTTATTTTGTATTTGATCTTAGCTGCATTCGCCGCTCGCCTTTGGCCTGCATCCAAAAGCCGCTGCCGCTGCCGCTGCCCGAGCAATCAATCATAAACGAGCTTTTTAGTGCAGACTTTGCCCCGCCCCTGCTCCAACTGCTTCCCGCTCGCCGCTCGCTGCTCTCTTGCTCCACTTTCTACTAAATTGTACATCAAAGTGGAGCCACATGGGACTGATTAGTGGTGCCGGCCAATAGTCGCAGCCATATATCAAAATTCGGTTTATATTGCACCAACAGCAACAGGCGGCAGCTCGTTGTTCGCCGCTCGCTGCTGGCTGCTCGGAGCCACCATTTATCATTGCCCAGCGGCGTCTACTATATATCAATATACAGTGAAATCTGCCCTAGACGGACAAGTCGGGCTAAAAGAGTTTGTCACTTATGGCAGCTGATAAGAAAGTGGCGTGTAGACTTAAAGAAAATGTGAGGGAATAAATTTGAGAGTAAGTTTACAATGGCTGTTCTATACATATGCTAAATATGCGTATATACTTCCTTATATTTAGTACATGTATGAATATTTAGTACATGTATGTACTTTTAGTTCATATATGAAACTTGTAGGCAAATTTGGGCATTTAATAGATATCCACATTTAAATACATATTTAGAGACTTTGTGTGGATATTAAGTTCAATTAGACTATAGTTTTTACTTTGTATGAATATTTAGTTCACATATGGGTACTTCATATATTTGAGTACATATATAGATATTTAGGGACTTTGTATAGATATTTAGTTCATATATGGGGACTCTATATAACTTCATACATATATGAATATTTACGCTTTTTCTATGGATATTTAGTTCACATACGGGGACTCTATTTATTTTTTAGTACATATCTAGATATTTAGGGACTTTGTATGGATATTTAGTTCACATATGGGGACTCTATATATTTTAGTACATATCTAAATATTTAGCGAAGACTTCCAGCATATAAATTATATATTTCCATACTAAATATTCTTGTGATAAACACAGGCAGTGTGAGAGAAATTGCCATAAATTTTATAGCTCTCTCTTTCTGTTGCTGTACTAAAATTGTATTTGCCCCATAGAAAATTCTTCAACATTTGCAGCTGCACAAGTTTGTTGAACAACTTGAGGCACGCTGCTGATGCAGCTGTCCGTTTGCATTGATTTCACTGTGCATCCGCATATATATCAGTTGAGTGGACTGCACTTTACATTCATGTTACTTCGCTCCTTTTGCAGCTTCGCGTCTGGATAAGGAATTTGTGGGGCCATTCGGTCTGCTGCTGCCAGATGTGACCCAATTGCCTGCCACATTCGATGTTTTACTTGCCAATTTACAGGTGAGTTTCTATCGGGATATTGGCTGCCCTGTATATATATAGATATATATATATATACATAGATTTCGAACAAGGACAATATTGGCAGGTTGCGCCATATGCGCTGCTGCGGTTTAGCTCGCTTTTGTGCACTCCAAAAAATAAGAGGAAAACAAATATTTTGTAGCCAAAAACCTAAAACTGTGAGCCGATGCACATGGATGTGGACATGCAGCAGCAGGAGTAGCAGGAACAGCAGCAGCTAAGGCAACATAAATCAACGGTTCTTTGTTTTGAATTAAAGTGGGCAACAGTGTAAACACATTGTTGTTGTGTCCATTGTTGTTGTTGCTGTTGCTGTTGCTGTTGTTGCTGTGGCCAGCGGCATTGGCAGCCAAAAAGCTAAAGCCTTCGCCGGGACCCGCTGGCCGTTTCGGTGGCTGCGGTTATAAAGGACGACGAAAATTGCTTTGAAAGTGCCGCCAAAGCCACTAGCTCAAATATACCCTGTAATTTATAGCTGAATGGAAGGGGTTATAGATCATGAGATATGATTGAAGGGAAACGATTTGGTTGGTAATGAAATAACTTTAAAACTTTTATGGCAAGACGTGAATAGAGTTGAAAGTTTCAAATTGAATTCCAGGTGGAGTTTGTTGGGAAATATATTGTTTATATACAGAAAATATTAGTACACTGTTCTGGTATGGGTATGTAAAGTTTTTAGCTCTACTTCGCCCATTCCTTTATAGATGGCTATATAATTTTAGATCAGCTTCATCCATTCTTTCACATTTCTTATCATCTATGATTTTTAGTACATTTTTAACCGATATATCTATGATTTTATGCATATTCTACATTCCGGTTATTAAATATATTTTTTAATATTATTTTTAAATTTAAAAAGTTTTCATGTAAACACAAAAAATTGTAGTCAAAAATCAAACTCAAAAGCAAAAGCGACATCTAGCGCCTGCTTCTATTATTTACCCTACACCAAACGCTAGATGGCGCCAGCAACAGTCCAAATAAATGCTGAATAGGATATCTTCAAAGTCCAGTTAGCTGCCATATTTAAGCCACGATGCTTATATATTCAATTTATGGCTTTGCTGCCAAAGCATTGACCGAAATAAAATTGCAAGAAGCAAAAGAAACAAAACGAGAAAAAGAAGAGAGGAGGAAACACAATAAAAACAAGTGGCAGAAGGAGGAGCAGAATAGTTACGATGCCATAACTAACGCTATATTGGATATGACTAGGAGCTGTCCAGAGTCCGGCAGCAGCTGCTCGGATTGCCGGGCGCCTTGTTTAATTGTGGCTTTAAATGTTAATTTTCAATTTCAAGTTGAGCCGCGGCGCACGTGTGGACACCGCCGGACGGCCGTGTGTGCGTGTGTGTGTGTGCAGCTGGGCAAATGTATTTCACCTGTGCCATAACTCATCATACAATCAGCGTGGCAAACAGAAAGTTTTCCTTTATGTGGCAACAACAGGCACAGGACAGCGAGGACATCGAGGACAGCGAGGACAACGGGCACAATGGCAATGGCTGGCAGTTACAGTTCATGTTCGCTCTTGCAGCGATAACCGGTTGCAGCCGCCTCTTAACTCTTTTCTGCTCCCTGCTCTCCTCCTCTTGCTCTTCTTCATTTTATTGTTTTCTGTGTGTTTGTGTTGTTGTTTGTGTCGCGGACAACAACTCCACTTCGCTAGTCGTTGGCATTTTCAAGTCAAAATGGCGTCAACGCGACCTGCAACCTCTCCATTTCTTTCCCTCCTCACTCTTTCTGTCTCTTTCCTCCAACTGCAACTCCATTTGGCAGCGCCATAAAAAATAAGCCTGAATTTGCGGGCAACGACTGAGAGATATCTCATATTTTTAGAGTAGAAAATTATCTGCATGTCCTGCATGAATATTTATTTGATAAACTAATATCCAGATTTCTTTTTATCAGTCATCTTCTAATACTTTTGATGAACCTATATACCAAATAGAAATTCTCTAAATCTTAAGGTTCTCGACCTTTGAGTGAAGAACTCAAGAGATCTAAAGAATTATAGTGAAAATGGACACAAGAATGGGGAAAGAATATTATATATGTATGATATGATATAGGAGATAACTAGAAAAACATATATTTGATAAGAGATAATTATATGTATATGAAATAAGATTCTCTTTCTGAACCAGAAATCTACTTATCTAAGCCTATAACACCCTCCTGGAGCTAATCTACCCTCTCTTTAACGTAATTTTGGGGATCAGCCCATGTACAGCAAAAAAAGTGAAAAGAAAAACGAATAAGCCAAACGAAATAATTTGTAGGCAAAGGACATGAACATGGACACGGACATGGATGCGGACATATGCAGCAGCAGCAGGAGTAGGAGCTGCACTACCGACAGTAGCTGTGGAGTAAGCCGTCTGGGCGATACATATGCCATCGAAATAAAACCGAAGCAGGGCTGGCTCCAGTTGCCAAGTGATGTCAGCGATTTATTTGATTTAATGCCAACTGGCGACGACACAATGGACCCGACCAGCGAACCTGAACCACAACCCGAACCCCAGGCTGAACCTGAACCTGAACCGGAACCCAAGCCGGTAAAGGCAAACGAATCGACGGCGAAGAAGGTGCGGCCAACGGTTGATGCGTTGTTAAAGCCAGACAAATGCAGGTGTCGCTATTGCAGCATGCAGGTGGTAAAGGTGAGGCGATATTAAGTGTAGTAGTGCATGTGTGTGTGTGTGTGTGTGTGTGTGGATGATATCTGTGGGTGTGGTGTGTGGGCGTGTTTGATGTGCTGCCAGCTAGTTGTTATTTGATTTACAAACATTCCTATAACACTTCTTCCACATCTATAGCCCACTCTTCTTCTTCTTCTTCGTCTCTTCCGCAGCTGCACTTGGGTAAAATCAAGCGTTTGGGCCAATATTGTCCATTGCATTTGTTCTCCGGGTAAGTTGCCGCCGGGCTTAACACGCCTTTAAGTCATAAATTTTAATATGCTCCATTTGCGTGTCCTGTCGTGCTTCATAATTCCAACACCTTCCGAGGCAGCCTCACCTGTGCGCCTCTGGCGTGCTTTACCTGCAGGCAATCGAATGCCACTTTTTGCTCCGTTCCTTTTTGTTCTGCTCTGTTTCCGGCCTGAGCCTTTATAATATGGGCGCGCGACTGGTTTGTTTTCACATACCCTAAGTGATAGTGAGTGTGGGCGTGTCAGAGGGTGGATTCGTTAATTGTGGGTGCTTCTGATAGACAGCTGGGCAAATCTATGATGACGTATATGCGACTCGTGACTAAGCAAAGGCGAGGCTCAGATTTGAAAGGTGTTTTTTATGAGAGGGTAGTCTGATAACTTTTGGAGCTAACAAAAATGATAATATGCATAAATTCGTAGAACTTGTGAACTATGTGAAGTTGGCTTTGATTTCTTATAGACTTGCTCATTGCTTAATCTCTAGATTCCAAAAGTCTTCAGAGGAATACAGCCAGGGTTAGCCATAATTTATAGACAACGGTACAGATCATCGTCTAGTCGTGCCGGGCCGTCCTAGACTCCGGCTTACTTATTCTGTTGTATTTTCGGGTGTGTGGAATCCGCGGCTCATTCGTTTATTTGTGGCCCGCTGTTTTAAGTCATGCGTGCATCCGTGCACGAAATTCAATTTGCTTGCGCTTTCATTCCGGTTTACCGCCTGCTTCGCATCCACTTTCAATGCATTTTGTTACTTTCTTTTTGTGTGTGGCTTTTTATTTCGTTTTATTTTCATTTTCGTTCAGGCCCGCGTCGGCTTTGTGCGGGCTTGGCGTTTGCCGCTCCGCGTACAAAAATTTACCACCTCTCGCGCAGCACTCAGCCCCTGCCCATTCGTACATACATATATTTATGGTTTAATAGTGTTATTTTATATATATATATATTTATATATAGTATTTTTTCTTGTTTCTTCGCTTTTTTTTTTAGGGCTCCTGGTCGTATGCTCGATGCCTTGAATGCACTCTTTGCTTGTCCGCAAAATAATTTACGTGTATTTCAGAGCGGGAATTTAATTTATGGCGATCACGCGAATTCGATTTCCTGCGAGCAGCTCCACACTCAACTCTTCCCCGGGTGAGCGCAACATTTATATATATGTATAAATTTATATCAATATTGAGATTCATCAATCGGAATAGTTGAATATTTGCAAGAAATACGATTCTGCTGAAACGGGCAGCGTTTGGCTTAAATTGTTGACTTTTTCCACAAGATAAGAGCAATAGAAGGGCTTGATAGCTGTTAAGGAAGCGACGCTGTTAAGTTAACAGCAGCTCAAATGTTAGGCAAGCTCGCTGTTATTATGAGCCCATATCTGTATGACGCTGTTAAGTTAACAGCAGCTCAAATGTTAGGCAAGCTCGCTGTTACTTTGAGTCCATATCTGTATGTGCGCATATATGTATATATATACATGTATGTGTGAATGCTGCGCTCGCTCGCTCTCGATGAGTAACAGAAAGCTCATTCAACAGTAAGTAGCTATAGTTGTCTCGTTCTCTCTCTCTCTCTCAGAGTGAGCAATGGCGAATAGAATCTAATTAGTACGCAAATTAATTCGTTTACTGATTGTAGGAGAACTCTGTAAGCTCGCTGTCTCCCATTTAAGCCACTACAACAGAAGGAGACAGCATTAGGAGACTGTAAACTGCAGTGAGAGGAAGAACAACAACGTAAACAGACATTTCTGTTAATTTCACAATATCAACAGCGAACTTTAGCATGAAAAGTTATTTCTTTTGTTTTATGCAGAATACAAATATATTTATTTTAGTAGAAGAAACTATATTTTAGCTCACATGCTTCGTAGAAAGCTTTTTATCAAGAAAATTTCAGTAAAAAAATATTAAATCTTTGCTATAGAAGCTATGGTTAACAAATTCTGAAAAATTTGTATATAAATGTTTTAACAAGCTTTAAAGTTTCGTATAGATACGATTTCCATTTAGATTCCTTGTGCAAACTCTTTGGAGCTACATTTAAATTTTTGTGAAATGAAATTTCATGGAAAACTTTTTGCTTGAGCTGCAATCGATTGTAAGCAGCTCAAATATTTATCGTATACGCAGCATAAAATTTCCATGGAAGCCAAACAATTACGAAATCCAAAAAAAGAGAGAAAAAATGGAATAGAGTAAAAATCTCAAAGCAATTGTGTTCAACATGCAAATATTCAATAAATAATGCTCAGACAGCAACAGCCAAACACACAAATTCTCGAATGCCAAACGCTAACACAGATATATATCTACCTCTCTCTCTCACGCTCTCTCTCGCTCTATCTCTTTTGAACTCTTGCTATTGGCTATTATGTGCTTGCTCCACTCATTTCAACACCTTTTTTTTTCGGCAACACGTTGACAACAAAATTGGAATCTGCATTGAAACCGAAAATGCTTTACCAATACGCATTGCCCGTATATACCCAATGCCCAATGCTATGGTCATAAAATCTGTTGAAATTCTCTAGTGAAATTATGGCGCTTATAAAACATTTGTTGGTCGCCTGCCTGCTTAGGGAATACAGCCAGGAGGAGAAGAAAGAGGAGCAGCAGGAGCAGGCAGCGAATGAAAGCCAAAGCCACGTGGCTGCTGCTGCTGCTGCATTTGGGAAATCGACATTCAAACGCTGTGGCATGAAGACAAAGCCAACCGAAACTATAGAAATTGGCAGGGCAAAGCACGTAGCGAACCAGCAGGACCTGGAGCAGGAGGAGGCGAGCATAGTTGACTTTGTCAAAGCTGTTGGTGGTCAGCCGCAGCGGCGAACAGCTGCTGCTGGAACAGCCAGCCCAAGGTACACAAAGCGTACCAAAATGACAACAACAGCAATGCCAACACAAACAGCAACAACAACAACAACAACGAGGCCAGCGAATGTGGCAACACGAATAGCAATGGAAACGGAAACGGAAGCGGAAACAACGTCGACAGCGTTGGCTACTCTGAACCCAGCGCCGCAACTTGTCGCGTCTCCCCTGGCGCCCAGCGAGACTCAAGCAGGGATCAGCCAGTCGGAAATATTTCACTTACCCAAAAATTGTGTTTTGCAAAAAATTTTGCATTTGCAATTGTTGGTCAAGGTGGGTAAAAGGTGTAAAAGTTGGAAGAGGAAGCAGCACTGCACGCTGTGGGCAATGGGCAATCATCGTTTTTTGTTTATTTTTATAGGGATTGGATAAGGAGTATGGGAGGGGGGGAGTGGGAGTAGAGGTAGGGCGTATAAAATAGAGCTTTAATAGCTATCAACTGATGGTATACCCTAACAAAATGGTGTTGATCAATCGAAGGGGGAGAACATGACAAAGATTGGGTGAAGATATAAAGTTGATGAAGAAAAGAAAATTTTGTTTTATTGAGGGACAGAGCCTGACTAACAAATACCTCGCATTTATACTAAAGAGCTTGAGCTAGACGAGATGGTTTTGGTTTGAGTGGATGACTGATGGCAAGGAACTAGAAGAAGAAGAAGAAGGAAAGCTTTAAGCTTGAATCTGTTTTATAATAATCTCTAAAATGGGGTATATGTATATTATAGTAGAGGAACAATAAATGGATTCAAGAACTTTATCAATTTCATGGCCTGATTTTCCCTCTTGGTCTGACTGCACCTCTTCATAGCAGGGTATTAGCTAGTCGTTCACTGGTCAGCACACTTGTTCTCTTGCTGTTGCCGCCGCTGTTCAAGTGCAGTCGCTGTGCGCAGGCAACTGCATTGAGCTTCACCTGGCTGATGGCTTCAACAATGCTTCAGGCGAGTGGCTGGCGCTAAAAGGGAATAAAATTGAAAGGGCAGCTAAACGGACAGCGGACAGTGGACAACAGACACTGGACAGCGGACACGTCACTGAGAGCGTCTTGCGGGACTTGCTGCTCGCTGCTCGCTGCTCAGTTGGCTGGCGGCCAAGTGGCTGCAAGAGTTTTGGGTTCGTTCGACTGTCGTTGGTTGTCTAACGTCTGCTCTTCTTTTTGGCCATTTGCAGCGACATTTTCATTATATGTGGGCGCAAGGATATGCCCAGCAGGGCACGCGCAGCTACAAGGCGCTGCGGGCACTGCTCGCCAGCTGTCAGCCGGACAATGTGCAGGAGCTGGCCGAGGAGCAGGCTTATATGCTGGGCGCCACGGCGCTCGATTGTTCCATAATGCTGACATTTCAGGAAGTGCAATGTCAGGCGAAGCATCACAGGTGAGTGACTGAGACACACACACACGTACACACACACACACACACATCTAGTTTCTCGCAGCTAATCAGTGCTCACTTCTCTTTCAGTGCTCTGCAGCCTTGGCTCGTTTCGCTGCAGGGCCGTCAATTTCTGACCAAGCTGAGCATCTTAGATCTGGATCCGAAGCCCGACAGCCATTTTCACAAATATATAAAGCAAACGCGTCAGATTGAAAAGTTTTGCGGCGCATTTAATTAATTAATAAAGTCGCGCGGCGAAACTAAACCCAAAATCATTAACAAATTCACAGCGCACAAAACTGTGCTACACTTTTTGTTCGTTGGCTAAATGAGCAAATTCCTTGCGCCCTTTGTTGTGGAGATTAATTGTAATTATGACTGGGGGCGTATTATGTCCACAGAGAGGTGAGCAGTGTTTTATATTTGTAAGGTAATTGTATAAATTATCGCGGGGATAGGCAATGGAATGGAGAAGACTTTTCAGTCTGTCAATGTAGCTTCAAGTCAGTCCCTCAGCTTGTGATAGATTCCCTATGAATGTATGTACGGATATTTGATAGTTCATAGTCCAGCATACCAAAAATATTCTGGATTGACGTTGTCATGCTATAGATTCAACTTGATTAGAGTTCTAGTTATATATTGGAAACTATATATATATCTATATACATATGTAGCTGTATTCCTATATATTAAGCTACGATTAGTTCATGCCTTAATTCGTTTATCCATCTATCAATCGGCTTTAGATCTATCGATATACCTTGTTAGCTATAGATCTATCTATTGATGTATGCATCTATATGTAAGTAAACAGATTAATAAATAATGTTCGATATATTCATATATCTTTTTGATCTATCGTTATACATTTCTCACCATATATCTACCAATCAATCTGTCTATATATCCATCTAGACATATTAATAACTAGATATCGATATAACTGTTGTTTAAGTCAACTATCTTTCAATGGATCTATCTATTATCTGTCTGTCAAACTATCTATCTATGCATATACGCCTCTCTCTCTCTCTTTCTCTCCCACTTTCTCTCTCCCACTCTCTCTCTCTCTCTCACTCAGTCTATCCGTTGCAGTCTTTCATCCCATGACCCACTCAGCTTAATCATAGTTTCCCCCTAAGCTCTACTCTATCTATCTATCTATCTATCTATCTGTCTATCTCTCTATCTATTCCTAGGGCATTTCATATTCCGCCTAGCCAGCTGGTCGCATGAGCGTAACTGGTTTTTGCTGTTAGCCTTGTTTGGCGCGCGCCCCTCGTGTCCCCCCGTGTCGCTGTCAAACTAACCGCAGGCGAGGCAGCAACACAAGAGCAACAGAATGGCAAACACAAAAACAAAGAAAAACGAGCGCAAAAAATGTAGCTGGCACACCGTGAACACTCCTTAATTAATTTCCATGCGAATGCGGTCAGGACAAGCCGGAGCCACGCGCTGCTGTCGCTGCAAAAGGCGCCGCAGGATGTGTTTAGGCGCTGCCCATCGACCCGCACAGCCTGATCCCAGTTTAACGTTGTTTCATGCAAAGTTGTTGTCCTGCCCTGGCTTGGCTTGGCTTGGCGCTGTTTTGTCAGTCGCTCAGCGCTAGCAGAGGCCAGCAGTTGGTTTTGCTTAGCCTTATCCCGGCCAGCCACAAAATGGGCAACAAAATTGTGACATTCACCGAACAGCAATTGGATGACTATCAGGTGCGTCTGTGTGTGTGTGTGTGTGTGTGTGTGTGTGTGTGTGCGTTCCTTAAAGATCAACTAAATCATGTTGAAAACTTAAATATTCCATGCGCCAATCCAGGATTGCACGTTCTTTACACGCAAGGAGATACTGCGGTATGTATTTATATGACAGCACGGGGCGTATACGCAATTTTCTGCCATGTTCCAAATATAATAATAAGCGAAACTATTTTGCGTTCCATTGTTTGGCGCAACCTTTTGTTGAGCGTGCACACACACGCACACACACACACATACAGAGAGAAGAGCCTTTCATCAGCTTGCTATACTCCTTTGCCATGCCCTCCCTCCCCTTGCCCCGTCGTCCGTGCAGCGTGCATAAACGCTTTCGTGAGCTGCGACCGGATTTGGTGCCACGCCAAATGACCGAGGGTCAGGCGTCGAGTGTCAAGGTTCCACGCGAATGCATTGAGAAGATGCCCGAGTTGCGTGAGAATCCATTTCGGCGACGTATCTGTGAGTATAACAACAACAACAACAACAACAACAACAATTTCCTCATTCACATTCATAAGCAGCAAAAGGGAAAAAATTGTATATAAAAATAATTTTTTGTTTTGTTTGCTCTTTTCTTTTCTTTTTTGTTTTTTTTTCTCTTTTTCTTTTGGTCAACGCCCAACTGTGCCCGTGGCACGCCCACTTGGCAGGCGAGGCCTTCTCACGCGATGGCCTGGGCAATTTATCCTTTGAGGACTTTTTGGATGCTTTATCCGTGTTTAGCGAACAGGCGCCGAGAGATATTAAAGTGTTTTACGCTTTCAAAATTTATGGTAAGTTTCTTCATTATACTCTGTGCGGGCATATGGGAGGGCAAATGGGGTATATTGGTTGACTGCCTGCCGATGCTGCAGACAACAGAAGGAAATAACTTGATTGGGAATATTAACTTTATGTATAGTTATAGTTAGAATATATGCATATGTATATGTATATATATGTATGTGAGGGTATACGAACTAGAACCCATCAACTATCTAAATACTTAAAGCCATAAAAATATATGCATATATATATATATATATATATATATATATATGTATATATATTTATATACATTAATACTTTTTTTACTCTCATCGAAATACCCTATGATGACCCTAATGTGAATGCTAAAAACTATAGAAGTTCTATTGGGTATTTGCTGTCCCATTGCAATATAAACTATGCAGACTCAAAGTTTTGTATAGTTACCTCCAAGTTCCTCTATTGTTTTCAGGGAAGTTTAGGCATATATAGAGAATTACCTGCTCTAGTATCATCAAAATGGCATGTAGATTCTATGATGTTATACACATTACTCACAAATATATCTAATTCGGCTTTCTCTCCTATTCTGCTCTGTCTTTTGAGTCTTGGCTTGAGAATTTCCAGAGCAGCTTGACGTACTACAAATGTGTGATATGGAATATGGTAGATTGAGAAATTTCAAATTTAAAATGTTGAATCTTATTGCTGTTGATGTTTTCTATACTTTTAATTCTTTCCTCAAGCTACCATTATCTTGTCTACTATCAATAAGAAGGCTCTCCTGAATCGCTTTGAATCTCTCTAAGATCTATAGTTATAAGACTTGAAATGAAAATGTGTATATCGAATATATAAATTGAATTATTTTTTATACTATATAAAGGTACTTACTATATACAATCTTCAAATTTATATCAACGAGCTACTCTTAAAGGCTTTCATCAGGGTATTTTCCTGCTGTTGAATTTCGTGTTGTTGGCTGTTCGGTGCACGCTTTTGGCCATGTTCTAGGCCAAAACATTTGCGGGTTTTGTTTATGCATTTGCGGGCTGTCGCTACACGCGCGCTATACCTCTCTCTCTCACTCTCTCTCTCTCTCTCTCTCTCTCTCTGTCTCTCTACCTCCTGCTGGTATTTATATGGTAAGGCCAAGGCATTTGCCTAGTCGCGCGCCTCAATTATTTGTGGCTCAGCTCCAAAAATTCCAACTGCAGCCAGCGCGTCGTTGTTGTTGTTGTTGTTGCTGTTGCCTGGCCGAGTTCAAGGCCAGTCATAAATTCTAATAAGCATTTTAATTGAAATTTAAATGAGAATGTGAAAAATGTCGCGCTTTCACTTGGCAAATTGATTTTACAACTTTTCTGAATTTACGAGACAGAGACAGAGAGAGCGAGAGAGAGAGAGAGAGAAAGCTGAAGCAAATAAACTGTGCAGCAATTAAATGGAGCACAGTGTACACTGTGCAACACAGGCGAATCTATATTAGTTTCTCTCATATGCTCGCTGTAAATTGAATTGGGAATTGAATCAACAGAATCAAAAACAGAAAAACAAATGCAAATTGAATGAAAGAAACAGAGAAAAAAAACTATTAAATAATTGCATAAAGCAAATACAGAGAGAGGGAGAGAGAGGGAGAAACAATTTGAAATGAATAATTGTTGTGAATAAGCAAATAGTTTAGTCTCTGTTACAAATTGAATCAAATTGAATTAGATGCGGTTCATGGATGCCTTTATAAAGGGCAATAACAAAAGAAGTCATTTGGCACGAGACGACAGACGGACAGCTGAACTGCAGCTAATTGGGCAGCAGGCAGCTGGACTTTGATGGGAGCTAACTCTTGTCTAATTGATTGTTAAAATTCCATTTGTTTATTGACTTGAGCTAAACTCCAAACTATCAAAATTAAGTAATGCTCAATAGGCTAACAGCTTGTCTAACTGTTTGGGCATTTGTGTCATTAATGGCATTCGCTGTGGCTCATCCTTGACTAATAACTAGAAATAATCAATTCAAGTCTAAAATAACTCAAGCAGCCATCCAGAGCCTTGGGGCTTATTTTGAGTTTTAAGTCAGCTTCAATTGAAATTCCACTTATTATTGTTACTATTCATTGCTTGAACATTTCACTGTTTCTCATAAATTTACTATTCATGCGATTATCCTGCGCATCCTTTGGACTCCTTTAGGTCTTGTGCAGGCTGCGCAAGTAGAGTTGATTCTCGTTTCGAATTCGTTGGATTATTAGATTGACACAAATTCGAGCCATGCAACACGCGCGCAGCACACACACACACACACATCTCTCTGTGTGTGTGTGTTGGCATATGCTAGTGTGTGTTTGTTGGCTCCTAACTTAGTTTTGCACACATCAATTCACTTTTATATGCATAAAAATGTCAGACATGATAAGCAGCCTGAGCAGTGAGTAAGCAAGCGTTGCAATCGGCCTTAGCCGACTGCCTAATACTCTTGCCGTGGACTGAGTTAAGGATAAGGGTTGAAATCTTAAGTATATACAGAAAATATTTTTTAATTCTACTTGCGTTGACTGTAGAGCTGCAAGATTTGTTGAATTCCCTGCCCTGAAAGCTATGGAAGCCGTTGTGAAACGCTCTTTATATACGTTAATATAGATTCATATGATCTATATGCCCATTTATTTTATATCTCTTATATCTAGCCCATTTCAAAAATTCCTTTTTGTTACGATCCATTCTATCAGCTCAGTCCTTAACTTACAATAGATAAAGAGACTCTCAGAATGTCAGAACTAATATACTCTTAAGAGTCTTGAATAAGTATAAGTGCAAATATAAAGGGGATACTCTCACGCACACTACTTCACATTCATGCACACGACGGGGCTAGCAATAAACTAATATACTCTCTCAGTCACTTCATGAATGCATATAAGAGAGATAAATAAGCTAGCATTAGCACACATAGACACACACACATCTACATACACACACATGCTCACAGCGAAGGAAATGAACTGGAAAAGGAAAGCTAATATGCTCTCATGAAGCAAAACGTGAGCGAGTATACGCCAGCACTCACACTATGCGTCTCACATACTTCTCTCGCACACACACTCAGAGAAGCGGAAGTACAAAATGGATATACCCTCTTTAAAATATGCTAGAGGGTATAGGATAGGGGAATACACACACACACACAAACCTAAACGAACTACACGATGAGCATCTCACAAAACTAATATGCTCCGAATGCATTCATTGTGAGCGAGTATGGCTGGTATACCTTGTTGCACACCTGCTGTCTCTCTCTCTCTCACACACACAATTTGCATATATGTATGTACATATGTGTGTGCACACGGCTTACTTATGTCTGTCTGCTGATGACTTTGCAGATTTCGATCAGGACGGTTTCATTGGGCACGCCGACCTGATGTCCTGCCTGACGACGATGACCAAGAACGAGCTGAGTCCCGAGGAGCATCAACAGATTGCCGACAAGGTAATCGAGGAAGCGGACGTCGATGGCGACGGCAAGCTGTCCATACTGGAGTTTGAGCATGTCATCTTGCGGGCGCCAGACTTTCTATCCACCTTCCACATACGCATCTAGATGTTGCAAGTTGCCAGTTGTTGTTGCAAGTTGTTGCCAGTTGTTGTTGCCTGCCACATCACATAAAAATGCCATCAGCGTGATTAAGTCTCGGCCAGGATCTGGCCAATTGTCGTGACAATGTGCATGTCAAATGTCACCCAGCTGCAGTTGTTATAAAATTTATAAGCCAACCATGTGTATGTGTGTGTGTGTGTGTGCGTGCGTGTGCATGAGGTGCGCGTCTGCGATACCCTATAATGTAAACATGCATTCATGTCTGAAGTAATAAAGTTGCTTAAACCTAGAAATTATGTCTATATATGTGTACATACAATTGTGGAATGCGGACGCACAAGATACCCTGTAAAGTACAAATATATTAATTAACTTATAATTTTGAGTAAGGCTGCATCAATTGGAGATATATTTAAATATATATGACTTACTAAATAAGAAGACATGCTTGGGGCTGACAACTAAGCACTTTCGGTTACAGAGATACCCTGCAAAAAGTGAGAGTTAAAGGCTTCTTTCAAATTATAAATGTATTATTTATTTAAAAGTGAAACTTAAAATTAAATAATCATTGATTATAAACGTGGGAGATACCCTGTAATGGGGAGAGTAAACTTATAGCAAATATTTAAGCGAATAATAAGAATCTAATAATATGGGATAATCAAAGTAAAGCCATGGAATTATCAAATTAAAGTGATTAGCCATAGATACGATTTAAATTAGAAATAATAAAGAGGCCAATGAAAGTAGCGTGACCACATGTGAGATACCCTGTAATAGTGATTAACAGCAGCAAGAGCTTTAACTATAATATAAAATCAATAAGATTAGTCATAAAGCGGCCTTAAATTAGAAATTGTAGTTATCAAAATCCAAGTTTGAGGTTATCAAAGTCACCAGACGCGTGCGATACCCTGTAAAAGTCAAATTCTTAAAACTAAGCTGCATATATTATGAGAATACTAGCTTCCCTATAAGATGTGTATAAGATGTCCGTAGACCTCCATTGCAATATACCACACAGCAATAGTCCCTTTACAGGGTATATGGCAGATGCAACCACAGCGGCCGTAAACATGCAATGAAACTGTAACTGTTGTTGCCGTCATCGTTGTTGTTGTTGTTGTTGTTGCTGCTGCTGTCTCTGCAGTTGACCTCAATAATGGAAAGCAGTCAATGGCATGAAATGGAGATTTGGACAACAGCAGAGGTCACATACGTGCATGTGTTTGTGTGTGCGCCCCACACCCTCTCCCTGTGTGTGTGTGTGTGTGTGTACGCGCGTTGTCAAAGTTTTATCAATTTGCCAGTTTGAGCTTAAAGTAGTTTGTGGCAAAATGAAACGCGTGCTGAACTGTTCTCATATCCTGGAGCCTATTGGAACTGGCTTGAGGGTATATCCCTTTTCATAATGTGTATGGAACAGAGAGAAGATAGGAGGAGGGTATACATGTATATATATTTAAGGGTATATATGTATCACTAGGGAAGTATTTTACCCAAAAACTTCATATCCTTTTTGAAATACCCTCACATGGCATACATACAATCGATTTCCATTCAGTATCTTATCAAAATTTCAATATTCAATCACATTTCAGGGTATCTGCTAGTCAAGCACTGCCGTTTAGAGCATCCTCAGTTTTTTTTTCTCTGTCCCACAATTATTGTAATTGGTGTTTTTTTCCTGTTATTTTGATGCAATTGGCAGTTAACGGTAAACCGATTGAGACCGTTAGCTAATTGCTTTCGCAGCATATTAATGGAATCTCATATGGCCGGACTTGTATGCGAGGGTGGTCTGTGTAATTACTTGACTAATGCGAAACAAAATATATTTATCAAAGGCTAGTTCTGCCTCTATAAATGATTCTCTCTCTCTCTCTCCCTCTCTCTCTCTCTCTCTCTCTCTCTCTCTTTGTCTCTCTCTCTTTGTCTCTCTGTTGTATATAAGTATATCATTAGCAGCTCAGTAATAAAACGGATCAGTATGGTACAGTATATATAAATATACGTATATACTCGTCTACATATTAGCTCTAAATTTCTTCTCGCCTCAGCTAACTGCATTTAACTAAATACTTGTCGAACCACCCTCGTCAACAGGAGCACAACTTCGCTTGTTACACGCAAATCAGTTTTTATTTTATTTCGACTGTTATTTAAATCACGTTCAATTCGCATTTTAATTTAGTTAAGTTTTAGTTCTCTATTCAATAATACGCATAATTTTACATACAATGTCTTTTACATATATAGTTTATATATTCTGTTCCATATATATATGTTTATTTATTTATTTCTTATTTTTTTGTGTTCTTAAACATTAGAAGAAAGTCTATTACAAGTATTCCATAATTGTATTTATTTTATCATATATATTTATATATCTATTAATGGACTCGTATTACGTATTATTCCAAAAATTAAACCATTTGGCTGTCATCTAAATTGTTTACTTTAGTTAATTGTGCATGTAAAACTGTACGCTTTGACTGACATTGAACTACATGCATATATACATATATGTATGTATGTATGTATGTATATTTAGTATAGTTTACTATTGCATTTCGATCTAAACCATAAGCAGGGTATACAGAGCTCTATAGCTAGATGAACTAAAACAGTGAAATTTCGGATGCTATACACAAAAACAACAACACTTAAGTTTACAACTACTAAGCTTAACATCTATATAAGATATATATAAGACATATATATAAGTATATATGTATAGTTGTATAGTTTGTATATATATATATATATATATATATATTATATATAAAGCAAAAATTATTGTGAGCCTTAAAGTTCGTGTTTTTATCTTGTTTTTTTTTTTTACATTTCATTTCGTATACTTTATGTATTTCATTAAAATTGTATTTTCATTTGTTTTGTTTTTTTTTATTTTCATATTTTTTGTTTAATAATTAATTCGTTGAGCTCTACATTTTTAAATATTTTTTATATTTTCTTGCTTAATTCAATATTTTCAAAATACATTTAGTGGGTAAATATGTTTAAATTAGCTCAAGTTTCTCTCTCGTATACATTCGTTATAGTCTTTTTAATTTTAATATATTTATTTATTTAATTTTTTATTTAAAACAAAAACACAAAAACGAAATTGTACAATTGGCTTTGAAAACTCTTTCGCTTGGCTCTCAAACTGTCGGTGTGTGGGTGCGTACAGTCGCTTCAAAAGTCGTGCGTGCCGCAATTGGAAAAACCGTAATCCGAAAAGCTTTCAAAGCTCTTCAACAAATTTCAGTAGACCGAATTGTGATGCTCGTAGTTGTTGTGTGCGGCCGCTGCGTGGTGTAAATACGAGGGTATTGCCGTTGCATTTAGTTCTGATGCGCGCCGCCGCAGCGCTGCAATGCTGTGGCCACGCCAGACATCCTCGTCGGTGGCGCCATCTGGCGACTGCATGGCCTGATGGCAGTGCGGCAGCAAATTTGAGCTATCCTGTTGCTGTTGCTGCTGCTGTTGTTGTTGCTGCTGCTGTTGCTGTTGTTGATGTTGTTGCTGTTGCTGCTGCTGTTGTTGTTGCTGTGTTGGTGTGCCCGACTGCTGTTGATGTGTGAGACTCTGTTGGTGTGCTTGCTGTTGTTGCTGCTGCTGTTGCTGCTGCTGTGGTTGGTGTGTCTGCTGCTGCTGCTGTTGGTGAAGTGGCTGTAGTGGGGGAGTACAGAGTGTTTAGTTTAACAGCGCTGTTAACTGATGTTTGGTTTGTGTCTTCGCTATTTACCATTGCCTCGTTGTTGAGTTCATTTTGATTGGGCTGCGCTGCCAGCGGCGGCGGCGGCGTCACCGACGAACAGCTGTTCATGTTGGGCGGTGTCGTGGCGCTCGGGGAGCCGCCCGGCCCACAGCTCACCCCCCCGCCCACGCCATGCTGATACATCATCGAGTCGCCTGTGCAGGTGGGAAAGAGACGAAACGCGTTCAATTAAAGACTGAAAATTGTAACACTACGGAACAAAAAACCTGTCTCCAAAAACCTAATTAGCACACCTATACGAAAACAAACAAAAATCAAAATTCAAGCAGAAGCAGAGCTAAAAATCATGCCTGCAGGCCATATCTGATAAATTAAGCGCCTGCCTGTTAATTGAGCCAGCAAATAAGTCGAAAAGGAAAAAATGCGTCAAGAGCTCTATAAATTAAACGTATGTGGCTTTTATTTACTTAACAAATTTATTTAAACAAAATGAAGAAGACGAGCAAGAAGAAGCGAGTTCAAAGAAATGAAAATTCGTGTTTTGACAATTTGTGTATAAAAAAAAAGAGATACCAAAAACAAGGAGAAAAAATGTCAAATGGAAAGTTTTTTTATTATTTTTGTATTATTCATGTGATTTTAATTAGGGGTAGAGGGTTGCACCTACCCAAAGCATTCAAGCCATAGTGCTGATAGGTGCCGGCACCCAGAGCTGAGCCCATGTTAATGCCCGAATTGAGGCCGCTGTTCAGCGAAGTCGTTTGATTCAGCTGACCAAAGCCTTGTCATCCCCATTAATATACGCACATATAAATAGCAGTTAGTTAGTCATCGAGTTAGTTAGCTAGAGCTGCGTCCACCATCCTCCTCCACTCACCTGCTGTCATGGGATTGACGCCCACGCTCCAGCGATCGCCACCGAACATCCCGGTGCCGCAGAGGCCGTCGCTCATGGCAATGTTTGTGATGTTCGCCCCGAACGGCGGCAGGCCGTGCGACGGCAGCAGAGCACCCGGCGTGCGGAAGACATTCGTGGTCTTCTTGCGCTTCTTCCACTTGGCGCGACGGTTCTGGAACCAGACCTGAAATCGAAATTTTGAGTTTGTTTAGGGTTGGATGATAGAGTAGAGACTTGAAGCAACGCCTCAAAATCTGGAGTGAAATGATGAAAAGGGAATGGACTAAGAGAGAGAGAGAGAGAGAGAGAGAGAGAGAGAGAGAGAGTTTGAGGGGCAATCAACTGAGATAGTAGAGATATTGCTAGTCTAAGATGATTTCAGATAAACTCTTTACCGAATTGCAACAGCAAAGATGTTTAATGATATATTTGTAATAAAATTTCTAGGATTTACCTAGATAAGCTTAAGTAAATATTAGTTCAACTATGCCTGCAAAAATTTATTTTTCCTTACTTCTAGATTTTCGGAAAGAAAAACTAGAGCAAACCCTTAAGTCGCTTATCAGATAACCAATATAAACAGCATATAATCATCTAACAAGCCAATATACTCCATCTAAATATAAACTAAATATAGTATATAACTAAAAAAAAGTAGAAATTTTACTCAATTCCATTTACAAGCTTTGATTCAATGCAGACGCAGCCAATTAAAGAGACGTCCAGGTGAGGTTAAAGCCTTAAGAACACGGCGCACACGTATGTAAATCTGTGTTTGTGTGTGTGCGTGTGTGTGTACATGTGTTGTCTGCTTGTTAAGCGACTTCTCTTACATGGTCTTAATCGAGATCAATTACCGTCGTGACAGTCAAAACATGTCTCGACTCGCACACACACACACACACGCACACACACACACACAGAGTCACACATGTGCATAAATTGCGTATGTAAATTCTTTATCTCCATATAGAAGAAGCAAATTATTTGGCAGCTGCCAACGCGCAGCCCCAACGCATCTTTCTGGTCAGCCGAAATGCTTTTGTCTTCCAGTCAGCTCTTGACTTGCCCCAATGGTGGAGAGGGGCTTGGGTAGGCGTCACACACATAGACAGCGGTCGAGGCCCATGTCGGATGTGTGTTTTCGAAAATTGGCATTTCCATATGCATAAGAATTAGACAGAGGCGAACGGAGGGAGGGAGGAAGGTAGGGACTGAGGAACGGAGGCGTATAGAGAGACTAGCAAAGGTAGCGCTGTCTATAGACACATGTTGAGGTTTTGACATTTACAAGCAGTTGCACACACACACACACACACACACACACACACACACACACACACACACACAC